TGACTCCGGCCACAATGAAGGTAAGCTTGTGAACATGGTCGAACGAGCTGAAGATGAACTCTAACTTGTCCATGCTGCTTCCGTGGCCCACACCCATTTCTGCCGCATACTTGGCAAGACCAAGCTCGGGAATAGACTGGTCAACCGCAATAACGAAGCCAATTGCAGAGATGAAACCGCGCAGGAACGGCTTGCTGAGAACGCTGTCGAGGAATCCCAGGCGGGCCAGACCCGCAAGAAAGACAGTAGCACCAGCCATACCCGCAACAACACCACAGATCTTAGCTTGGACCTCTGCATTGTACTCATCGCTCTTGTCATGGTCGATGCTGCCTCTGACCACAGACCCGACCAACAAAGAACCAGCAGCTTCCGGACCAACTACCATCTGAGGCGCGCTGCCGAAAACAGCGTATACGAATGGGTTGAAGACGAAGGCATACAGTCCATTGATAGGAGGGACATGTGCGAGGTTGTCAGCGAGAGACAAAGCCATAGGTAGGTAGAGGGAGGCGAGCGTCAAAGCTGCAACCAGGTCTCCCTTCAGATACGACCATTGGTACTGCGGCAGCCAAGTCAAGAGAGGGATGTAGTACGAAAGATACCTGGAAAACAAGCAGAGTTAGCAGGCAAAGCAGATTTGAGCGGTGAAAAACTCGGGGCCCAGGTCCTGCTCACATCCAAACGGTATCCTTGAAGCCGGCCTGCTCTGCCAGAGTTCTCGAGGAGTGCATCTTCCTGCTCTTGATCTTCCTGACAAATCGCTTCCTCCAGTGGTCGTCGCCCGTGATTGCGGTCAACACAGGGTCCAATATTGGGATCTCGGACGCCGAGGAGGATGCTCTGTCAAACTCGGGATCCATGCTACCAGCAGGGCTGGCGGGTCGCGGCGAGAATGTACCATTTGGGTAGCTGTTAGCTGGCGGGTGATCGATGAGTACATTCTGCAAGAGGCTCGTCGACTCGCTCGGGGGAAATGTGTTCGGTCGGTTGAGGCTGGAACCGGCGCGAGGAGGATCGCGAGTTTCGTTGTCGTGAGGAAGAGGGGTTGCTAGCGGAGTGGCATCCTCGCGAGTGCTCAAGTATTCGGACTCGCCGCCGAGAGAGCTTGGGGATTGGATGGGAGAGCCCATGGTGTAGCTCTGGCGCAAACCGCTGGGATTCGCTGGGCGATGTGTTGTCTGCGTTGTTTGTGTTGTTTGCGAAGAAGGACTGCGACTCGGTTGTGGTCGGCTACCTGACATTTTTTCGTACCCCCAAACAAGATGACGTTACAGGTTCATGCGGCGAGGGGCGGGAGAGAGGAAGAGCGCTGGAGAGAGGCTCGGATGAGATTGGCGGGGGTGAGCTTAAGCGAGACTGGATCTTGGGATTTAGATCGATTTGGAGATTCTTCGGGATTATGCGTATGCGTATACACAGGGCGTAACACTGATCTTGTTGGTGTTGTTGTTTGGATGTGACGAGAGGTTGCAGTCGTCTCGAGTCTAGGTAGGTCACAAATGTTGCCGGCGGGTAGAGACGGAAGGACGAGATTCGGGACGGAAAAGACGGCGATGGGGATAGAAATGCCGAGTATCAGTTTGTTGGAGCAATGCCAGGCTGCACCATGATAGGAAAATTTGTCACAGCAAGGCTGACTCGTTGGTCAAACAATTGCGACGAGAGAGATTGGAGGTGTTGTGGCTCGCGACGTAGAAAGAGGCGAGCGTACTGTGGTTTGTGGACTGGGAGCTAGGTAACTAGCACCAAAGGGCCCCGAAGGCAAAGGGTCGCCTGGGAACGAGGGAACGAAATGGTCGGTGAATGTTTTCTGCAAGGATTAGGATTCCAGTTCCGCAATTGCCCCAAGGTCCAAGGATCGGAGTGACATCAATGCGTTGGGGCTCTTCAAAGTTGTGTGTCAGCGGAACTCGATTCGACGATACAACCTTTCCCACCTTCCCTACCTAACTGTATCCGTACGCAGTATGGTCTACGGGCAGAACCGACCGGGATGTGTTTGTCTGCGGTTACGTACTGATTGCCATGTCCATTCCCGGCTTAGGAACGCCAGCGGTCAGTGGCATCCAGTGGCATCCTTCCACCGAGAGGGAATGCCGTAATACGGTGAGGACGGCATACCGGCAAAACCATCCCGCGGCAAACAACACTGCTAGTCCTGATTTGGCATCTACCTGCTCACCGCCCTGGAAAGTGACTGATTACGTGAGTAGGTACGGAGTAAGGTGGAAGCCAAGGTCTTGTACTCCGCCAGTCCACTCATTGCCCTCGGCCCCTCCTCCTGCTCCTGCACATCTTCAGTGCCAATGCGGTGCTTCCCGCCTGTTGTCTCCAGAACTCCAGCCGATCGGCAAAAGAGAAGCTGTGGCTCGTGCGCTACGCTGTACATAAGCCATCTGTGGCTGGTGCAGCTCTCACCTCATGTGGCTGGACTGAAGCTCCCTCTTATTGTGAAATGCCCAAGGTGACATGAGCAGATCCCCCGCCAAAGGGACGCATCCATTGCATCAAATCATCCTATCACATCTCACGCCCTTGAATCTCATGATACTCGTCATGAGCACCACCCATCATGACCTGCTTCCCATCGCCTTACTGGCACGGCCATCACTCACTCATCCTCCACGATCTCAGCTGAGCTTCTCATTCCCACTCCCGAGATTCTTCAACCGTTGATGCACCTTGACACCATGTCGTTGAACAAGACCACTCTTGTGTTTTCACAACGCACGATCCCGCTCGAGTGCGATGTGTATTCCTGTGCTGATTATCCACTCATAGCTCCCGTCTTCCTGTACTTCCACTCAGGTGGCCTCGTGAGCGGTTCCAGAGAATGTGTTCCGCCTTGGCTTGTACAGGTGAGCCCTTCATCTTCATGAACAACCACCCGTGCTTCCTCATCCGACAATGGTAGCTGACCTTACCACACTAGGTCTGCTTCAAGAATCAATGGACTCTCATCAGTGCGAGCTATCGGATGCTTCCCCAGGCCAAAGCTTCAGGTCTGCTCCATGATGCCACTGACGCTTACTCCTTTGCCCTGCGTTGGGCAATCACAAATGAACTTGCCCCAAATCGAAAAGTGATTGTAGGTGGATCAAGTGCGGGTAAGAGGCTCATCACCACGTCGCCTGAAGTCTTCATCGAGGCCCTGATGACTTGAGCCCTAGGTTTCTTCATTGCCTCTCTGACGGCCCATCACCTCCACCCGACTCCCCTTGCTCTGTTATCAATCACCGGTATCACTACTTTCCGTCATCCATTCTTCAGTTCCTCAGTCTTACTTACACCGGAACCCATAACCGAAGCACAAATGAGCCACCACTTATCCGCACCGGTATCTATAGGAGTGACATCCGCAAATAATCCACAGGTCTTCCATGTTGAGAAGATCCTTCCTGATGGCGCCAAGAATACCGCATTTGTATTGCCTCCACTCCCCATCTCAGATGATGGCAACTGCGATGAGTTCCCCCGAGGATGTCTCTATGACTACTACCTTTACCGCAACGAGTTTCTCAATCTTGTGGGTGAAATTGACCCAGGCTACGAATGGGCCGAAAGTGAGATGGGAGAGAGTAGAGCTGCGGCGTGGCCACCCACGACCATCATACAGGGTGACGCTGATGAAGATGTTGACCTCTCTGTGAGCACTCACATGGTTCATTGTCTCGGCGATAGCAAGGTGAAGCTCTTCCTTGCTGAGGGACAGCCCCACCTCTACGAAGCGACGAGGTTCATTGAAGACGACATGAGTGGAATGGATGCCGTTAGACAGGCAGTATCAAATCTGGAGGCCGACGTTGCCCGTGCCCTTGCCTGACCGATACTGTCTCACTGGACTCGGACGAGGTCGAACCAAGTACAAGCTGTGGGAGAGGGGGGTTTGTTTCCAAACTGAGGTGGCCTGATGGGCAGGTAGCAATCGAGGGTTTCCTCACCGACTGCCTGATCGCGCGATGGCACTTATCATGGATCTGCCCCTGACGAAGGGTCAATAATGTTTTCCTGTATGCCTACCTCAGCCTCCACTTCGCAACGGAAGAAGAGGTTAGGTCCGAGTCGATACCTCGAAAAAGCCGTCCTTGCGAAGAAATGTGAAAGTTCGTCTTACTGGTCATAACAAATAGTGTGCAACCCCCAACTGCGAGCAACCATGCGGCCTTCGCCTAGAGAACCCCAAAGTCTCCGACGGCCCCGACCTGAATCGAGGGCTTTCGAATCAGGGGCCCCGAATCATCACTTTGATTTCATGCACGAATCTAGCTCTCATCACTCTAGCTGGGGACGCTTGCAGATCCTTAAACCAAACCAACATGACGGTACAGCGTTGTCATTGGCTGGTCCCCACAGGGCACACATGTGCCGCATTAATGTCACGTCCGCCCTGGGCGCTTCCGGTGCCAATCCCCGCTCTCCCGGGGGCCGTTTCCCGTCACTATCACACTCAGAACCATCACGTAAACTCTTTTGCCCAACAGCATCGCGAGACCGCCCCCGATCAACTTCACATATCGAGTTCGCTATGCCCGCAATGCGGTCGCAATGCGGGGCCCTCTCATAAAGCATCGGGGGCCATGGCTTTGTCAAACATCTCAGAGCGAATCACTTGGCGTTTTTGGACCCCGCGCTCATCACCGAGCTGATTTCTCGTAAGCTCGACTGAATCAGGCACGGCCATTGGCAGCAATCATCAAGTTGCAGGGAATGAATCACGCGCAGCGATTCGGCGCAACCCGTCCCTTCACTCCTTTTGCCTTTGTCCACGAGGGCATTTGTTTGCTAGTCATTATGTTAATATAAGAGAGCCTGTTCCCATGTTGTTTTCCCTTGTTTCGATCTTCGGAGTACCATCAATCAATTCTCGCTCCTACTCCAATAACCAACTCAAATAAAGCTCAAATCAAAGCCAAGACTCAACTGCTTGTTCTTGACGAACTTCTTTTCAACACAGCAACCTCGCGACAGGAAATTTCGACTCATTTAATTACATCACAATGCACATCTCAGCCAAGTCCATACTTGGCCTCGTCACCCTTGGCTTGCTCTCAGTAGCAAATGCATCGGTACAGGATTTTGAGCTCATGGTCCCTCGCACATTCACCAACGCCGATGGCACTACTTCAACAATACGCATGAACCGCAACACCAAGTTCACCCAGGGATCAGAAGGTACACGGCCAGTTCGCCTATCAAAAAGATTCCCCTTCTCTTCCGGTAGAGACGAGTGGTGCGGAGAGATGGCCGAGGACCCAGCGACAGATTTCTCAGCTTCCGCTCCGCTGGCAGCAGACTGCCAGGCACTCGCCAGCTCTCTCAGCAGTCAGAATGGATTTTGGACTTTGCAGCCCGGAGACTTCTCTTCCAACGGATGGGCTACTGTAGTGAGCTCCGGAACTTGCAGCTTTGCCGTCAGATATGCCGATTCTGGCAGCGCGGCTAGCCCTATGAACGTTGGCACGAACGATATCCGCTTCTACACGACGAGATATGGTGTCATGGCACAGAATGGAAAGCTCGGGCTGCAAGGGACTGTGCAGTGTTACAACAATCAGAAGATGCTGTTTGTTACTTGGGGTTTAACTCATAGCTGAGTTGAAGTAGCAAACAAGGTGCCGAAGTAGACAAACTCCTAATGACCATGTGAGGAGGCAAATCGACCATGACGTAGCCACAGGTTGATAGTAGTAATCTCAAATAGTTGAAAAAAGATGATTTCACTCATTCTGGAGGCAAACTTTCTGTGTCCGGTTATTTCTCATAAAGCAACTTACCTCATTCAGCATCTTCTTGCGCGAGTACTACCTTTTCTTCCTATGCTACAGTTCAAGGACTTTTATTAATTTTGCTTTGGTGGTTAATGAGGAATACAACATGACCTCTGCTTCCCAGATGCACCGTCGCTTTTCAAACAATCCAGGCAGTTAAACACCCGTCTTTGCTGGATGATCTTGGCTGCCTCCTTTTCAACTTCATACGACAAGTTGCGGTTGGCGTACTTATTCGAGCGGCAGCCACAAACCCCAACCTCCCGTATGCACGAGAAATCCATCATCGTGATCTTGGGAAGATCAACTGCCGTGTTGAGCAGGTTGCAGAATTTGTGAGTCGCAAAGTCGATGTCTTTTGGCAGAATGTTGGACTTTCGGAGAGTCTCGATATACGACGCCAGTGCTTTGGCGGATCTCACACAAGGGTTTTGAGATATGTCCCACGTCCAAGTCATGGGGCTAACGAGACCCTTGTAGAATGAGTTGCAGCATTCGTGTCTTTTCGCCTCCAAACATCCTGAATAATCAACGTCAAGATGATCCTCCACATGAGCCCCGTGAACAAGGTTACTTACGGATGATGTCATGCCTCAGCAGAGGATGATCTGCCAATACCTTGACTTGCTCCGAGCCTCTCGAAATTGGTCCTTCGTGGTGGAGGAAGACTCTCCACGATAACTCTGAGAATTCGAGGGGGAGGTCTATGACATATGAAAAGACCAAGAGGTGACAAAGGTCTGCCATTGGCGGCACATTTTCATCGTAGTCTGAGAGCCAATCCCTGATCCATACCATTCCGCAGTACTTAAATGCCCCGGTGCATTCATACTTGTCGCTCACGAAAGCAAGTCTCGCCAGGCCGATGGGTTTTGGTCTCTCGGTAACATAGGCGTTGTGAAGAATCTGGCTCAGAATAGACATGGACTCGGCATCGTCATCCGGGAGATCAAGGCTGTACGGAAGTGAGAGTCCGGTGCTCTTGGCCAATTCTGTGCCTTCTTTGAATTTGCCTCCCAGCATTACCTTGAAGACTGGCGAGTTCAGCATCAGAACCTTCGAAGATACCCTTACTTCCTTGTTCTGTAATTGCTCGTATTCTAGGAGCTTCGCATCGGCGTCTACACCATCTTCGCTATCTTCGGCAACATCGGCATCGTCTATGCCCAGCCGGCTGAGCACAAGAATGAGATCTCCATCTTTGTCGATTTCGCGGCGGATGGACATATTGGAGTGCATACGCGGATCTTTGTCTATGCCTGAAGATCACGAAGTAAACCACGCAACGGTTTGCAGCAGGTCATTAATTTTCTCGATGTCATGCCTCAACGTGAAGCCCCAGAAGGTTTCAGATCTAATCTTTTAACTTTGCTATGTCAGCATAGGTTGCCCACGTGCGTAGCTAGGATCACGGTCCGTGGACGAGTCTGAAACGAGAAATCTGCCCAGAGCTGGGGCTCAGTCTCCCACCATGCTAGCAAAGCACTTTAATGGTCCCATGAAATTTCCCAAGGCTATCAGGTTCATACAATTGTTCTCGTCATTAAACATAGTAGTTGGGCACAAACCGAAAGGTGCCAGCTTAAGGATAAGAAGCAAGGATCGGATTACTCACAACAGTATGGTAAGCAGCTAAGACACTGGTCAACGGTATGGTCAGATGACACATGTCATCTAGAATGATTTATATATAGAAACCAAGCTTGGAATAAGAGTCACATCACGCTCTTATTTCTGTAAAATTCAAGTCTCACCGCAAGCGTTGGCACATGCGCGCAATATCGTCAGACACAACGCGTCTTAGACGCATACGGTTAAACAAGCGGAAGAAACGATCATTGATTAGAGGTCATTATATATAGGGGCCTTTTTTTGCCACGAGTCACTGCAATAGCGCGAAAAGACACTGAGAGTGACATCAGAGTGTATTGTAAGGTATCTGAGCTAGTTCCAAGTGTGAATAGTTCAACGTTCCAAGAGACCGACATCAGCGAGTCCTTCTAATGCCCTAATCTCACGCGACGCCGAGTTGCTTAGACATAGGCGGCGCGCATGTTTGTTTCAAAGTGGTTGTCGTTGAACGGACAGTTTGCCTTCTTGAAGTCTCCCTTGTTCAGAGCGCTTTGGACGATAGGCTCCATGGCATCCCAGTCCCAGATCCAGTATGTTCGGCCCACGGTGTTCGTAAACTGCAACTCATGGTCCAAACCACCCTGGGTGTAATATTCGACTTTGACGTTGTTGCTGCTTCTTTGAGGGTTGCTGGTCAACTTGAACTTGCCATGTCCAGAACAGGCGCCACCCGTGATGGTAGCAGTATTGACTGAAGCAGAATCAAGCCAGACGACCGAAGTCTCCCAGTCGTGACGGTGGCCGCCTACAACATTCCCATCAGCTGGCTGATCCTTGGGCCAGTACCAAGCATACATGATGCCGAATTTTCCATTCAGAGTCATGGAACGGGCGTAGGTCTGCCCTTTGTTGCCGTCCTTACATCCTCCCGAGGTAGTTCCAGTATGCTGCAAACCACCGCTTCCCTCTCTGTCAGTATGTCTGAAAACACAAAACTTTGGCACAAGCTACGTACCTGATCTGGTTGTTCTTGTTCACAGCGGGATAGGGCTGGCAGCCATGGGCAATGTGCAGCAGCGGCTGAAACTTCTTGATAACGTTTCCATTGGGGCCAAGAGTATCGACCACAGGGTTGAGAGAGTCGTGGGCGACAGTTCCCGGAGCAGGCCAGTCACAAAGACCACTGCCAACAAGGGCAAGAAGGGAGATAATGATGTTAGACTGCATTTTAAGATACAGGCGCATGCGTTTGCAAGATCAGAGTTGGTAAGAGTTCAAGTAAGGTTAGTATGTTGGACGAATGAACCGATGAGTGTCTGCACATAGAATGCTGCTGAATGTCAGGCGAGCGACTGGTCTTCTTATATAGACATTGAGATACGCCGGATATCTCCTTTGCCTTTAATTCGAAAGCTTCTCATTAAGTCGAAAAGCTTCTCAAATTCGACGAAGTTCCGTGGTCCCGACGGACTTTGCTAACATACGAGATAACTCAACATTCTCAACTACTAGTCTGTATCGTACGATGCTATTCTCTAAGAGAATCATATTGTGGACCAGATAAACAGACGGCCCGAAATATCTAAGACGCCTTCCTGTCACTATCACGAAAGAAAGTGTTGTCACGAAAAAGATTCCATTCGGCTTTGTTTCGGGTCTACGAAAGGCTCTCCTGAGGTGGATCCGGGAGGCTTCACCTGAATGATGCTATAATAAGGGGCTTCAATGTCACGATGGAGGTTTCCTACTTATTCAAACTTTCCCAACGTCACTGATCGTGTTAAATTGGTAAGCCTGAGTACGATCTCTTATTCTGGGTGGAGGCACGGAATGTGACTCCTTTTTCAGCATGACCCGATGCATGGAACTTTTCACCAACCTTTGCTTGACCTTTGCTCTTGCAGGGTTCTGCGAATAAAGCCGTGAGAGGACGTTGGCCCCGTTTTTGAATCTCTTGCTGAGGTTTCGCTGCCGATGATTCCACAGTTGGTCCAAGGTATATTACGAAGCTTCTTCTGACACCTCCACCCGATTATCTTTAATCCAAGTCCGCATGCGATCTGGGTCTAGTTGAAGAATCAAAAGTTTGCTCTTCTTGAGTCGACAGAGCTATCGCCGTCTCGGAAGACACCTCGACTTGAGGTGGTCTAGGAATCAGCCGCTAGACTGAGTCGTAAATAACGAAAATCGGAACTTGCAACGGGGACCTGTCTAAAATGGTATATGTGTGGGTAATTGCTCAAAAGCTTCTACTAAAGCGTAAATAAACCATGTTCCAAGTCTCCATTTGTTAAATTTGGATTCAGGGTTGACCTTGGCTTATCCACATGTTCCAGTCATGCTGTATCAACAATGATGAACCTGTTTTGGTGATCGACGGTCGGATGAAGCGGATCATCCTAATCTGTACCCTGATGTATTGTTAGTGTGCTCGGAGAGAATGCGCTCGGAAATCTGTAGGAGCCGGAGGATGCACACTTCTTCTTTTGCGGCATATCAGACTTTGCTGTCTAATATGGAAAAGGCCCGATCAGGTTGGATCAAAGTACGACATCGGCCTTCGGATCCGCAACTCGCCGTAAATGCCTCCACAGACAAGAAATGGCCTCAGCTACAAGTTCGTGATGTGAGATGCATGCACTAATACCTTAGTATCGGGTCAGAGATGACCGCGAGCTAGCTGTCATCGCACGAACATTCGCCGCGGATGCAGACCTAGTCAGCCCCATACGTCAGCGTGAAAGATTGCGATGGCGCGATAGCGTATTGATCATGGAGGTGAAGTCTCAAGGGCTGCACCGCTGGTGGAAACAGTACTTCGTCAGTTTCCCGCGGATAATGGATGTTTATCGAGTCGATATCGCGTGGGACAGCTCGACCGAGATCATTCAGGCTAGCATCTATGACGTTGGTCCCCTCTATAGTGTGTATGTAGGCCTTGGATTCCATGTGTGCGATTTGAAAGTAAACAACAACATACGCTGAGGGGGAAAACGATCGAAAATCATCCAAAGTTTGATTGCTGCGCTGGACCTCCCAGTCGCAATGCTTTCATGCATCTAGACTCTGTCGGGAAACTCCTCACTTGGAATCCTACATGTACAAATCACCTTGAACGTTCTTAAGCATCAATGTCGAATGTAGGGGTTGGAAACTCAGCTAAAACGGACGGCCAATTACTCTCGAGGATAACTACTCTCTCCAGGTCAATGCAAGAAGGTTCCTAGACAACTCTAATCCTTAGAACCAAGGTTTCTTCTTCTTCTTTTTTTTCTTTTCCTTTTTCTAAAAAGTTTCCCTACCTAGGCAAATAAGGTCCATCAATTCGCGATGCTTTTTGCTGTCGTCACAAATACTACCGAACGGGACCAATATCCCGACGTATGGAATCAGGATGTGCGCGATATGCGGGGTTTCGGGGAAGCGATCAGCAGTAGGGCAGGTTGGCTAGCCGGGCAGTCTTGGTGACGGAGGGTTGCAGGCCCTAGACGGAAGGAATCCTTACCTGTTGTCAAGTGCGTGACTGGATTGGTGCATATTTGAAGAAATTGGCCGAGTTATGCAGTCTTCGCTCGATTTTGGCAAACTTCCAATGTAAATCCCCAAGATCTATTGACGAGCTGGGAGATGATTGAAGTGCCGTCTTCGTGATCTCGGGGTAACAAATGGACTTCGGCGTATCATCGATGGCGAGAGCAGGCACTAGCAGGAGCAACTAAGTGCATCGCAGCTGCAGATGATGAGGGATGAATCGTGGATGAAGCGATACTGACCAGACTTGAAGTGATATAAATTGCAGTCGACTTTTGGTTAATGCCGCTGAATTATACAGTAGCCACATGAACTCGATGCTCGAGATCACCATATCATGGCTTCATTCGCTCCAACGACTTTCAATCTGCTCTTCATCCTACTTTTTGGATTCATCAATGTCACCAAAGCCGCCGGAATTGCAGTTACCGATGTCCTAGGACGACCTCAATGTACTGTGTTTGCCAATGGCGACCAAGTCAGCGACGTGGACAATATCTTGGAAGCATTCAATATCTGCGGGACATCTGGAACCATCATCTTTCCTGAGGATGAGAACTACTGGATTGATCGAAAGCTTAACCCCATCGTCCATGACGTGAACATCCAATGGCGGGGAGAATGGACTGTAAAAAGATAACGCCCAAGCCCGAGTTCATCAGTTCCGCCCAAAGCTGACCTTGATAGTTTTCGGACAACATTGATTTCTGGAGATCCGTTGGGTATTTTGTTTTCTTTCAAAATCACCGCGCTGGCTTCGTGTTGTCAGGGGATGGCATCCATATCAATGGTCATGGAACTGGCGGTATCCACGGAAACGGAGACGCATGGTATACCGCTGAAAAGGGTACAACAGTTGAAGGCCGTCCTATGGTATTGATTCCCAATTTACCACGATAATCACTGAATAAGGTACTGAGCTAATGTTTCTTGTTAGCCATTCGTGCTCTGGAACGTCAGCGATGTGACAGTCAAGAATTTCTACATCAGGCAGCCCCAGTTCTGGGCCTACAACATCATGAACGGAACGGACATCTATTTCGAGAATATATCTGTCAATGCTACTTCTACAAAGGCACCCTCGAGATATAATTGGGTTCAAAATACGGATGGCTTTGGTAGGTGGCGATTATGCTGAGATGATCTATGTGAAGTACTGACGAGAATTATGCAGACACCATGGATGTAAAGAATGTTCGTGTCAAGGGCTTCAACTACACCGGCGGAGATGACTGCGTTGCCATCAAACCCCGCTCGTACAACGTAACCTTGGAAGGCGTTACCTGCAATGGTGGTAACGGCATTGCGATTGGAAGCTTGGGTCAGTATCTCGAGGACTCAAGCGTGGAGGACATTGCCATGGACGACTTAACGGTGAGCACGACATGTCCATAGCCCTTTCAAACTCCATGACTAAAATAAAGCCTCAGCTCAAACGGGGACCGGTGGATCTGCGCTACGGAATTTATCTCAAAACATGGATCGGCGAACTTGTGCCTCAAGATGGCTATGAAAGCGCAGGAGAATCCCGTGGCGGTGGCTGGGGCCGAATCCACAACGTAATCTTCTCGAACGTTCAGTATGAGAGGGTTAATAATGCCCCTTCATTTTACCAAAACAATGGTGATAACGGGTCATTCGCTGGGACCAGTAACATGGAAATATCCAATGTCGTCTTCGCTAACATCACCGGGACGCTCTCTGGAGCGACCAACCGGGTCAGCCTGACTTGTAGCCAGAGGTTTCCTTGTCACGATATCAGTTTTCGGAATGTTGATCTGATCGCTGGCAATGGCACAACTACTAGCTGTACAGGCCGGTGGACATTGGCCGATACCGTGTCCGGGCTGCCGGGGTGTTGAGAGAGGACTGCGGGCCATGTTGTCTCGCGCGACATCAATATCATACTGTACGCGGCTTAGGCATGTTCTAAAGCTCCTTTGATCATGTAATATCGTACAATCTCAAAGCCCTCTTTGCCAAATTGACTTAATGAGGCTGACTCCATATTCCTTGTCGAAGCCCCATGACCTTTGTGATAACATCGCTGTCTTTATCGAACAAACCATAATCCAACCTTATTTAATTCATGCCTGCTGAGTGTCTGAGAGTATTTAAAAAGCTCGCATCGCAATCCGTTATCCACGACTGATCAGTGCGTACTTTTCCTCCTAGTTCCATCGGCTAGAGATTCCTCGGGAGTGTCATCTAGTGATTTCCTCCTGAATACATCTCGTACGCTATGGACGAGACTTAACCCTTTGTGTGACGAGTCTGACGACGAAGTACTCCAAACACTACTTCGTCGCCGCACTCCTACAGATAGCTCCTCTTCAACTAGTCTGGCATCTGCGTAATGACCTGGGGAGGTGCATGTCAGCGAAGGGTAATAGTCATCACGAACCAGGAGAAGCTCACGTATGTTACCAGCTCCACCTCTTCCAAATGACACTCGTCGGCCACTCTTGATGTTAAACTCATTCATTGCAGGTGGTTTTGATGTGATAGGTAATTATTGGGAGTTCGGATTCGGCATCGCACCGTTTCAAGAGAGCTGCGGGGCCTGCCTCTACTTATCCCCCAGATTCCCCAGATCATCCTCACCCTCGAAAAGCTGAAGCCATTTCGGCGATCCATCCAGATAAGCAACAAACCCCCAATTGGCTTCCCCAAGTTCCAAACCCCCACAATCGGATCTGAATGCCGCTTTCTGTAATGCGGGTGGTGTGGGATCTCCGCAAAGCTTGGTCCTTTAGCGCCATGATCTACACCTTCAAGATAGTAAATCGCGATGTGACTGGCGGCCGCTGGCACCATTGAACCAGGGACGGAAAGGAAGTCTCACACGTTCTGTTGATGATGTCATGAATGGCTGATGCAGAAAATAATAGACCGACCTGGGCTTGGTGTCTTTGGACTAGCCCGTTCTGCGACGGGCGTTTCACTTGTTGCTCTGTCCGTGGAACGGGAGCATTGGTGGGGTTGGGGAATATGGGATTCGTGCGTGCAAGTTGCGGGCCGTATCCCCCGTCTTCCCATAATACCGCGTGGTTGCTATGGTTCTAACGGCTTGACCTGCTCTGTTACATTTAGGAAGAAGCATGCTCGTGAGTGAAGCGCAAAAGAGCCCCTACGGGAAGAGATCTTTCAATAGAACGCCGCCTGATCTCGATTTCGATCTATTGATCTACCTCTTAACGACCGAAAGACGAGAATTGTCACTATGACTTCACTGAGTGTGCCAAAGGTATTGGCTTGGAGGATCAACGGCGGTCAGGTTGTGGACCTTGGAGAGGAAACCCGGCGAATACCATGGTGGCAATGCTGGAGCGGGTGTGTTTCGTCGCCTTCATTTATCGGTCGATAGACATATCTTCCAGCGCCATACCCCCTGTGATCCGCCGCGGTCTTCAAGGATCACACGTGCAACCGAGTTCTATTACACACTGACCATGTCCTAGAATAGCGTGAAGGAATGTCGGGTACCTTAGATCGGGGACTACCTTAGTTGGAGGATCCGGCAGGTTCAAGACCCGCACAAACAAACTAGACTGAGTCGAAACTGAACGAATCCAGTTCCTTGACCTTGATAATGGGACACCAGAGAAGTTTGAGATACTACCTAGCAAAGCGGAATTGTGTATGTAAGTGAGGTAGGTGATGAACCACTCCGGTGGAGGTCACATTTGAAAGACCCGATTTCAGACATTTCATCTGCATAGGCATTGCAGAAATAGCGCGGCATGAAACATGACTGGCAATTCTTTTGCTGTCTCTTGGATACCGGTTTGCATTCCTGCCGCTTCCGCCTACCTATAGACAACGAGAAAACTTCAGGATTGCTGTGACTGAATTATGCGATGGTGCCACGAGAAGAGAGACATAACCCATGATCAGCACTCATTGGGCATTCTACCTTGCTTCCACACGTAGATTCAGAGTTCCATGGGGAGGTAGTAATAGCATCATTCCTCGTGAATGGTTGCAATACGAGGTGGGGGCGCCCAGTTTTTACGTCCATTCCTCTCATAGTTTTCCTCGTGAAAAGCCTAGGCCTCGTGGGGCGTACTCAGTGCATCCTGCAGGTAGTAAGCGTTCAACTGCATCATTGCATCAATTTTAGTTTAGGGGCATATTGTATAGACGTCGAAACGTCCATACATTATTCTTGAGACCAATCATCCGATCCTCGCATAAGTCATGGTGCCTTTGCATGTGAACTTTGAGCTGCCTGTGGCCTCACCATCCACAGTGTCTTGATTTGCTTGACAGTTTGTTCGGCTGAACACGTGGGTACCAGGAGAGACTGTTCCAGGGCAACACACCAATAGACTAAAAGCAAGCACGCGAGCGGCAGCTCCGGATCTTGTTGCGAAAATTAGCCCAAAGACATAGGGCATACGAAACAACTCTAGTGAAGAACGGTCCTCTTGGAAGACCCTCTTGGGGCCATGGGAGACTTCAACTCGTGACTCGCAGGATTGATAGCAAAACGGCTCCTATTCGGCATGACACCCCACATCTACCCGGATCCGGCACCCGTGTACTGCCCATCCCTCGGAAGCTGACCCCACCATGTCGGGCTCGATGACCTGACCGGTGTAAAACGTAGCCTATCGTATGACCTCGAAGCCGCGGACTCGGTAACGGAATGGTAGCGTGCGTTCCCGGGACCAAAGGCCTGGGCTGTTCCACGAGAGAATCAGACGATTTCAAGCCTGCGGCTGTGACTGGACGTTTTTGGCTTGCACAAAAAGAAAGTTGACAAGTGAGGGACTCAGGAAAGAAAAACTTGCATTTGAACGGTCACTAGATCAAAACGACTTCTAGCTCAGCCTCAAATGGGGGGAGTCCACCAACGCCATGAAATGGGAGCGAGCTTTAGGCCGTTCGGGAACTTTTGTACCATTAGCGTCTGAGAAGTGATAGGGGCTTGGCTAGAATTCTAGACTCCAGCCAGTCACTTGAACCAGCATGCCAAACCTGGCAATGTTTTGGTGTGGTGTTCGTGATGGTTGCAGATATTCGGCGTCGTTCAACTAGCTGCATGTGAGCGAGAGTGAGATGCTGAGAACAACTTTCTGAGCTTAAACGTGTAAATTAATTTTGTATTATTCGTACAGACGAAACCTTTGCAGTCGTCACAAGAGAGTAGCAGATTGAGTGAAAATATTTCAACATGATAGTAACGCCGGCTCTTAGAAAAGACAGTCGATGAAGATCTCATGAGAATCCTAATGTTCCCGTCACCTCGTAGTAGCACGAGTATACGGGCGTCAGGTCCTGCGTCACCTCCGGCTTGCGTACGATTTCAACACAAGACTTTTGACGACGGAGGGCCTTGACCTTGTCTGCACTCGTATCCCTTCGTGGAGGTTTCGTAGCCATGCTCTCGACGTACTCCTTCAGCTGGTCAGCCAACAGTACTGCTCTGGCCTTGCGCTCATAAACGGTGACATCGTCGAAATCATTAGCCTCCTCTTCGTCGAGCTCCCCCAAGCCACGCCTGTGTGTCGCGAACCGTAGTGGTGTCTTGACTGCTTTCACTTTACGCACAAAGTCGCGACGGCGAAGGTGATATCTGGACGACCTGGCGCTCCAGAAGTCTTTCGACATCTGTCCCAGCTCCTCGGCACGAGCAGACGCCAGGCCTGCGGGCGTGACGTTCACGTTGCATTTCCAAGACCCCGGCGCTAGCTTCTTGTCGGAAGAGACCATGGACTTGACGAGGTTCCGCATGCGGGTTTCGAGGAGCGCCCCATTGCCGGGAATAGTGTGGTCGACCAAGCCCATCCTCCGAGCTTCAGCTGGTGATAGCGGTGTCATGTCACGCAGCAGCTTGGTCGCTCCGGCTGAGCCACAACGTCCGGTGTAGGACAGGGAATGATATTCCGAACCGTGCAGGCCGATCGCACGGTAGGCTGGGTTGAGAACGACCTCGGAGCCAGCAAGCACAATGTCGCATGCGGCAGCCATGGCAACGCCGCCCGCTGCACAATTGCCTCTGATGCCAGCAACGGTAAGAATGTTCCGTGATGGGAATTCGTGAAGGAGGTAGTGCACAACGTCATCAATGCGGTTGATGTTGAGCCAAGACTCAAGCGCCGGGTCCGCAGCAGCCTCGATAACGTTTAATGCAATACCGTTGCTAAAGTATCCGTCACCCCCCATGAGCACAAGAGCGCTGAGTGGTCGTTCCACGACATGAGTGGATGCGATAAAGTCAAGGGCGTCAATCATGCGGGAGCACTGATCTGTACTCATGGCGCCGTTGTAGAAGTTGAAGTAGAGGAAAGCGACCCGCTTAGCATTGGTGAATGTCTGGAAGTCAACTGATATGTCCTGCTGGGTACCGTGTGAAGCTCGGGACCAATCGATCGTCGCCCTGGATATGCGATTTTCTGTGACGGCGTCGCTGTCGAGGATGCCCAACTCTCTCAGGCCTGAGACAGCAGGTACCTTTGGCCATAGCATCGTGTCGGTCTTCTTCTTCACACGACGAATGTGAGTGATCCAGATGGCCTTCTTGTCGCAAGTCGCAACGCAAACGGCGTCATCCCGGCAAGCTACAACTTTGCCAGGTGGAGTGTGGGCAGTGAGATCATTGCCTTCTTCGATGTTGCCGCCATAAACATAGAGGCCCGGGCCAAATAACTTGGTAAGACAGCCTGGCTGAGAGTCCGAGCATCGAATCCTCCGGGATATTTCCCGAGCCGTGTGTGACTGAATGTTGAAGTCGCGTTGGGCCGCCTTGAGAAGTGGCCGATGACGTGTTACTCCGCCGAGGAAAGCTTTCTGCAGTGTGACAGAGGCGTCGCGGTAGGCAGGGTTTGCTCGGAGTAGCGGAGTGACATGATGCGGG